AAATTACAGAGTTACTCAGTAAAATCGGAAAACCATATCGTAAATCATTCATTTGCAAAATATCAATCCATCATATCAAACTGGACTATTCCTGTTCCAAAACATCAATCCATTGTCACTATTCATGCGTTTCATACAAATTCCATTGTGTTCCCACTCTTCTTACTTTCTTGATCTTCCCCCATCTTCTGCTGCCAGACATTACGTTGACACTCACGTCATATACTACTTACAAGTAGCTCGCACCACAGTATTTTTGTTTTGAAAATGCTTACTTCATTGATTTGTACGTTAAAACTATTCCATTGATATAATTCGATCAGGACTAAAAGGCATAAACAAATGTGACAACTGGTTACTGTTTATTCATCAAACAACTTAAATAGCTGTTGAGTCTTACAAAATGTCAGTTGTGGACTGAAATAACTCATTTATCAACGAACATATTATATTCATTTCATTCTCGTGACTCAAGTGTTATGTACGAAAAAATCAAGCGGATGAAAAGTAAGCGTCCGTCCGGTTCTGAAATCAGATTGATGGTACACGGAATCTACTTAGGAGAGTTAGAAAATCCTCATTCCTAAACAATAATGAACATAATCTCTGCAACATTCTGATGGAACGAATGATGTATGAACCTATAATTGGTGACCGGTTGGTTACCTTAGAACTGCATCTACTTACATTGGTTCAATGCCTTGTGGAGTAGACTTTTGAGTGTAGTGCTCGGTATGTGGGTCTTTGAGAAAACCATGTGTTTCAGTCTGGTTGTCTGAGCAGTATCTCAGTCCACTTATAAATTCAATGATTTGTATGGTGCATACCCTTTTTACCAAATTTTCTAAGTTTAAGTAATGATCAAATACAGTGTCACTTATAAATTATGTGGTATAAAATATTTTATACCATCTATCGGTCACCGAGTAGTCACGAGTATCATTTACACAAAGTCCTCATTATCGCTGAATAAGCTTTATTTGGGGCACTAACCTGTCTGACTGGACACTATGTGTTGGAATTTAAACTAATTGTTTAAGTTAGTCAAAATGAAAACCTTCTCAAGTTAGATTTCGTGATATTTTGCACCAGGATTGAATCCACCAGAGCGTATAGGTTCCCTCAAGATTACAGAAACATTTTGCTGAACAGTGCTTCATAGCTTAAAAAGTAGCTCTAGTATGATTTTTGGTCAACTAACTCCAACAGCACCTTATAAAAATGTATACTTATTACAAGATCAGTTTCCTTTTGTTGAAATGGAGAGAGGTATCCTGAACTCATCATTACCTACTTACTTACTTACGCCTGTTATCCACAATGGAGCATAGGCCGCCCACCAGCAGCATTCTCCAACCAACTCTGTCCTAGGCTTCCCTCTCCAGTTCTGTCCAATGTTTGTTCATTCCTCTCATATCTTTCTCTATTTCTCGACGTAATGTGTTCCTTGGCCTTCCTCTTTTCCTTTTGCCCTGAGGGTTCCAAGTGAGGGCTTGTCTCGTGACGCAGTTAGGTGCTTTTCGTAATGTGTGTCCTATCCACTTCCACCGCTTCTTCCTGATTTCCTCCTCCACTGGAATCTGGTTTGTTCTCTCCCACAGTAGGTTGTTGCTGATGGTGATGATGGCCAACGAATCCAAAGTATTTTTCATAGACAACTGTTGATAAACACTTGTATCTTATCGATGATGGCTTTGGTAGTTCTCCGAGTTTCCACTCCATACAGTAGAACTGTCTTGACATTTGTATTGAAAATCCTTATTTTGGAGTTGATTGATATTTGTTTGGAGTTCCTGATATTTTCCAGTGGCAACAATAAACTATTGGTTTTGCCTCTTCACTAGTTAAATGCTACAGTTTTCTAACTAGGAGCGAATAATCAGTCATGAAATGTTGAACTGTATTTTGATTTCAAAGGAAACATATGTCAAGTTTGTATTATCAAGCGATTGTCAACCAATCCATTACATTTCGTCAGATTGTTTCATGTATTCTGTTTTGTATAAAGATATAGAGTTTACTGTGCAAAACTGTAAATGATAAAGTACATGTTTATCATGCTTTTGGTAGTATATCTATTGATATTAATAAATATTTGTTTTGTTAATCAATAAGAAATTAATACTTAAAATTGTTTTTATTCATGCTTATTAGTATGTTGCAATTTATTTACTAACACTGTTCTATAAAATCAACTTTCCTATGGTAATGCAATCTGGATTTATTTCATAGTTTATACTTTTAATAAGATTGTCATAGATGCTCATTTTAAAATGAGTCATCTGTAGATTATGTCTGTTCAAATTATTTACACTCTTCTTTACAGTTGATCCATTATTGAGTAGTGACCAAGGTCAAGTTGGTCAGCTCTTCCTTGGCGATGATTTAATTCTACCGATCAGGTTGCAAAGTGACCACCAATCTAGGCTACTCAACATCGGGTGCACTATGTTGAGATGATGTAAGGTGATGGGTTGGAGGTAGTCGACAAGAAACCTTGAACCTAGGTCTCGTGCTATTCGACACTGATCAGCAAGGTGCACGTTCAAAACTGAGGGAACTAATGCAGGTACTGGGTTTTCTGTCGTAGTAGTAGTAGTAGTAGTAGTAGTAGTAGTAGTGGTAGTAGTAGTAGTAGTAGTAGTAGTAGTAGTAGTTGTAGTAGTAGTAGTAGTAGTTGTAGTAGTAGTAGTAGTAGTAGTAGTGGTAGTAGTAGTAGTAGTGTGAGTAGTAGTAGTAGTAGTTGTTGTAGTAGTAGTAGTAGTAGTAGTAGTAGTAGTAGTGTGAGTAGTAGTAGTAGTAGTAGTAGTAGTAGTAGTGTGAGTAGTAGTAGTAGTAGTAGTAGTAGTAGTAGTAGTAGTAGTGTGAGTAGTAGTAGTAGTAGTAGTAGTAGTAGTGTGAGTAGTAGTAGTAGTAGTAGTAGTAGTAGTAGTAGTAGTAGTGTGAGTAGTAGTAGTAGTAGTAGTAGTAGTAGTAGTGTGAGTAGTAGTAGTGTGAGTAGTAGTAGTAGTAGTAGTAGTAGTAGTAGTAGTGTGAGTAGTAGTAGTAGTAGTAGTAGTAGTGTGAGTAGTAGTAGTAGTAGTAGTAGTAGTAGTAGTAGTGTGAGTAGTAGTAGTAGTAGTAGTAGTAGTAGTAGTAGTAGTAGTAGTAGTAGTAGTAGTAGTGTGAGTAGTAGTAGTAGTAGTAGTGTGAGTAGTAGTAGTAGTAGTAATAGTAGTAATCCATATATAACCAATGTTAATAGTCTCAAAATTATCTTATAGTTACTAGTTTGATCAAATACCGTGACATGGATAGGTACTTTTGAGCAGTTTCATAAAACAGTAAACATTACTTGGTTTTCATATATATATTTCTGGTAGTTATCAGTTTGTGACAATTGAAAAAATAAACTATTTTAAAGTTAATTTGTTGATATGACAGTATATTAATTTACAAATGATGTGTAATTGAACAAACCGTCAAACAGAATGATAAGTTCCATATGAGAATTAAAAAACACATTATCAGAATTACCATTGATAGAAGCTTGAAAAATCAATCATTTTGAAATATTCAAATTCACGTAAGTTGATGTTTGTTAGTTAAACCTAAGTGATAATACACTATTTTATTTAATTACCTGATTATTAGTATACATCCGTGGTAAGATGCCTGAAACTTTTGGAAAAATTATTTTATCTAGTATAATGCTAATCTGTGTTACATGTCTACATTCAGGTGAGTTACCAATGACCTATTAACTTATACTTCATTTAATCCGTCCTCTAATCAACAAATCAAGATATTTGTCACGTATTCTCAATCGCCACCTGCTTTGACGTGAGATGTTTTCTGGTCCAGAAATGAAAGTGTAGAAAGCTAGGCGGAACCGAACCAACAAGTGATTTCAGTCCACCAAATATTGACTATTAGGTCGAGTGGCGTTGACAGATGGAAGCTGCTCGGTAGGGTCCACAAGGCGCTGGTTGAAATGACTTAGAATTTTTCCTCTCTGGTGTGGATGCACTCACTTTCCTTAGATCTTCAGTTTGAGATTAATTTTTAACTGCTACATGAATAAATGCTTTTTTCTCATATGTTACATGTATGGCTAAACGTTTTTTCACTGCTGATACTATTGGTATGATATGATATGGGAACGTAGACCGGTGCACATAGATGCCAATTTCTCCTATGTACATGTGAGTTCAACTATGTCGGAAGTGGGAAGGTTGTTTATCGCTAACAATAAAATGTAGTCACGCAACATCGTGAACATAAACACCATTTGATAACAGCCTAGCTGTCTAAAGGTTCTATTCGTAAGTAACACCTAAGGTTATGGATTCTATCCCATATCATAGCGTTATGGATGCTGACTACTGAGGAGTCCTCTTCTGGTTTGAAACAGCTATCCAGTGTTTCTTCGTTTACAGTTCCTGACTAAAACTATGAAAATTCGATTATCTTTACAAAATTCAATACTGATTAAATGCCATTTGAGTAATCTACTAGTTACTTAAAGTTTACCCATTTTTTTTACAATCCTGAAGGCATTAAGGGTTACGCCAAACACTGTAATTCATCATTATATTTAAACGGATCAATTAATTTCCCGCTCATTCTCCATTTTTTGTTCTTTTTTCAATCAACACAAGATAACATTAACGAACGCATATATGAACGAATAATATTTATTGCATTGAATACATAAGATAACAAATCTACAATTATTTTTTATCTTCTTGAATGCAAATTAACATCTTGTTGTTGTAAAATCGAATTGATTTGTTCTCAGTTTTATATTTTCCTTAGAAAAAAAAGGTGTTTCAGTAAATTAAGTAAATAAATCAATAAGTAATTAGTTATTTAGCTGTGAACAGACAGACTAGGAGTAAATGTGTTTCTTCTAAAAATTAAAAACAAAAAAAATGCTTATGGACTAGGCATTGATCGATCATCTTATTGCAATTTTTGCTTACATAGATATACTACTACTTAGCATAAAATGTATTTGACTAATAAGTAGTAGTAGTAGTAGTAGTAGTAGTAGTAGTAGTAGTAGTAGTAGTAGTAGTAGTAGTAGTAGTAGTAGTAGTAGTAGTAGTAGTAGTAGTAGTAGTAGTAGTAGTAGTAGTAGTAGTAGTAGTAGTAGTAGTAGTAGTAGTAGTAGTAGTAGTAGTAGTAGTATTGTCACTGGTCATGAAGGAAAAGGATTTAATAGATGGGGAAAAAAGACAGGTGCACTGAATAGACATGATGAGTGCAAATAAAACTTATCAATTAACAAATTCATCACAGTATAGTCTTTGTTATTGATACTAATCGGTATGAACAACCATGATAATTATTATTTTTATTAGTAGTAGTAAAGATCATGTTATGATAGAAAAGTACAATAGTAATCTAAGAAAATATTGTTTTGTTTTTTTTTCTAATGTATGTTGGTTTTATTCTTTCCATTGTACACTTTTAAATCTGTAATTTCGACGATGAAACCGATGAATTTTGATTAATTGAGAACATTTCTGTATTTAATGAGCTATCTAGAATTTTCGACATCAAAAATGATAAATTTCTTCCACTATTATTATGATTATTATGATTTGTTTTCGGTGTATCAGTAACATTAATGTAATTGTTAGATTTACCATTTTCTGTCAGTTGATAATCATTTGACAAGGAAGTATTGTTCACTTTAGACGTGACATCCAAGAATGAAGATGTATAGTTTGTTGATCTAGATGAAGTTGACCATTGGAACTTTGAGTTCGATATACAAGGCGGTGGTGGCATTGACAGATTGTCTATACTCATTACTGATTGTTTAACTGATGTCATATTACGATCAATGTTGGGTAAAATTGATGTAGGAAGAAAGTTATCATTATCACTACTAGTAATTGGTAATAATTGTTGATAAGATTCCAAACTGAATGGATACTGTTTCAGTTGACTTGATTCATACATCATCACATTACTATGCTCATTGCTAAGATTATTAGAAAAATGTGTCAGCGGTGAGTCAACACTATCCAAGGATGAATAATTTCTATGACTGTTTTGTAACAGTGGAAGTAAATGAAACATTGAAGAATTCATTGTTTTATTTGATGATAACTTATTGCTAAATTGATGTAAACTGGTGTATTTTAATTTTTTTCGAATACGATCAGGATTTCTTGGTGTACGTGTTGTTGTCATTAGAGGATCTGGCGTTGTTGTTGCTGTTGTAGTAGTCACTACTGTTGTATTGTTTGAGGATGTATGTGATTTAAATTTCCTGTAATTATTCAATTTATTATTCATGGCATTGCTTCGATATCTTTCATTTTCTACACTGTCTGTTGTTGTGGACATTTCAGATGCACATGTAGATGTAGCCTCTGTTGCTGCTGCTGCTAATAACCAAGAATGTAGATGTTTTCCTGGAGAATTGTGTTTGAAAATTTGTTTATGACGTGTCATCATGGTGTGTGATCCTAATAGATGTTTTGCATGTATACATTTACGCATATGTTTCTCCAGTGTCGATGGTACTATGAACGGTGTATGACAATATTTACACAAATATCTTGGTTTACCATCTTTTCCATGCGTTTTCATGTGTCGTGTCAATTTGGATGATTGTGCACAAGCATAATTGCACAGCTTGCATTGATATGGTTTTTCACCTGTATGACTACGTCGATGTACAGTTAAATTACTACAATTTTTAAATATTTTACCACAATATTCACATGTATCATTACGTTTATTATCACGTTTTATTGTTATTAAGCCATTAGGATTATCCAATGGTATGGATGCTGTTCGACAGAATTTCCCTGATGGCTTTGATGACAATACTGGTATAGAAGGCATCATATTCGGAAATGGCATACTGATGCTCAATGATGATGATGATGACGATGATGTTGTTGTTGCTGAATGGGATGCTGATGATCTTTTCGACGATGAATATTTATGCAATTCTAAATGTCTTTCATTATTCGCGTCACCACCAGCAATAGTGTCATTACACACTGTGACAATAGGTGACATAGGCAAAGAATCTAAGTTGCCATGTAATCGACTACATTTGTTCATTCCTAAGGGACTATGTATATTACTAATATTACTAGCATATGGCTTATTCAATGACACTGTAGTATTGGAACTACTAGTTAGCGGGAAAGGTATTCTTTCAAATAAATCTTGATGATTTGCCATTTGTACAACATTTCTCTCTTCATTATTACTTTCAAATGGATTGAGAAGTGGATTTCTTTGTTCAAGTAATAATGTATTCGATGTGAGAAGAGAATTCAACATATAATTTTTATGACATCCGAAATCATTGTTTTGTGAATTTTTTAAATTTCCAAATTGTTTTTCATCAATTTGTTGAATAGTATCATAACTGTTATTACTTGTATGAGTAGTATTGTTAATAGGATGAACATTTTTCAATTTAACATTGCCTTCAAATCTATGCAAATCATGATTTGTTTTCATATGCTTTTTACCATATTGTTTTTCATAGTTCGTAGAATGATTCATGCAATTATTCAGTGTACCGTCGTCGTACACTGGAACAGATGATCTTGACGAAGAATCAGTAATACTGTCATTACAATGATTATGATTATTACTGATTGATTTCGGTTTGGAATGTACAAATGATGCAGAATTATCCGTTGACATTGTAGTAGTAGTAGTAGTAGTGGCAGTACTAGTAGTAGTATTGATTGGATTTTTATCATTATTAGAACAATTATTCACTGTTGATATTTGATGTTGAATATAATAACGTAGTAATTCTTCATAATAATATGTCCAGTAATAATGTAGAAATGTTTCACGTAATGGTGATTGCAGTGATTTATTGTTACTATTATTATTATTATCGGCATTATTTCGCTCAGGATTAGTATTCATCGCATTCAACTCATTGGGACATTTCTTAAAAAATGGCGATGAGGTTTCCATGTAATTTGTACAATTCATTGAGTTCACTTCATTATTTACATTATTTTCACTGTTATCAATAGATTTATGCAAAACAACATTTTGTTTAAATGAATCAAATGATAATGAAGTAGGTACAGGACAAGATGGCGGCATTTTCAATGGATGCTGATGATACAGTGAATTTTGTTGACAATTATTTAATTCATTCAGTTTATTTCGATAATTCAATTGTTTACAGTGATTTTGTTTTTTTAGTAATAATGAATCGTAACTTGAACTTCGAAACTTTCGCATTTCACTGGGATGATTGGCGCAACATATTGATGATGAATTAGAAAGCATTAATGATGGACAACTGTTACATCGATTTAATAAATAAATATTGGTTGATGTCTTTTGATGCTGTTTAGTATTATTATTATTATTATTATTACTATTATTATTATTATTAATATTAATATTATTATTATTGGTTGATTCATTTCTCTTTGATGATAATATTCTCCTTTTTTTATTATGTTGAGGAATTTTTGAAATCGGTGTTTTAGATTGACTGGGACTATTGGAACATTGGATAAAGTTGGTTGTATATTCAGTTTGATTGTTGATAGTGATTTGATTTGAATGTGTTGAGAGGTGGGATTTGTTTCTTTCAATCTCCAATGGAATTGGATAAGGAGAATAAGAATATCTTGGTTTATTGAACAAATGCTGATTGTCATCATTATAAGGTAATTTATTTGATAATTTTGAACACATTAAATTATATAATTGAGTATAAAGTAACCAATTCATAGAGGCTTCGTTTTCTTTAATGAAAGGTTGTACATTGAATTGTAATGGATTATTGCTAGAAGATTGTTTTATTGTGGTTGTATAATTTTGCTGTGATAAATTTGAATGTTTATTATGATTAATTGTTGAAAGATGTTGATGAGTACCAGGATTTTGAATGATATTTTGTGTTCTGCTCATTGGTGATGGAACTGTAAAAGCTGATAAATGATGCGGTTGAAATAAGAAATTTGTGATTGGATCTGACTTTTGACTCTTCATTGAATCGGTGAATTGCCTACATGTTTTTGTTCAGAAAAATAACAACTATGAATTAGTAATGACAATAAACTAACTAATTAATGCATGGCTTAAAAGTTTTAAGTAATAAATGATAAATCGTTTATTGAAACAATAAAATATCATCATCACCTTCACTTTATTGATAGTGTTATGTTGAACATGTCAAACAGTCACTTTCAAGCATATACAATTAATCCCACATAGTATCAGAGTATTTTGTAAGACTTCAAAGTATATAGAAATTAAGGCTGTAATCCTTTAAAGCGTTATCAATATGTTAATGGAAAATTATGAGGAACTGTGTCAATCTTATCTCACTGTGTGGTGCGCGCTACTTATAAGTAGTATATGACGCGAGTGTAAACGTAATATCTGGCAGCAGAAGATGGGGGAAGATCAAGAAAGTAAGAAGAGTGGGAACACAATGGAATTTGTATGAAACACATGAATGGTGAAATGTCAGACAATGGATTGATGATGGATTGAAGATTTGCAAATTAACGATTTACGATATGGTTTTCCTATTTTACTGAGTAACTCTGTAATTTTCGTTAGATACAATTCGGTTGCCCTCACCTGAGTTCTCCTTCACTACAACTGGAGTACTTAAATCCACTGCGTAATTGAGCAGAAAGGTTAATGTCTTCTTATTACTAAATATTATTAGTTGCTCATTCTTCCCCCCCCCCTCTTATCTTGTTAATTCTTTGTGACGATGTGAAAGTGAACAGCTTGAACTTATACGAACATATGACATTTCTTACTTATGATGTAATTTTGTGACTTAATCACTTAATGTTAATCACTAAATCTTAATGAAGCTGAGGTGAAAGAGTTTTACTAAACTTTCGTCCTCTGATCTAGTTAGTTTGATCATTAAATTTTCATCAACCTTCTGGAACAACATCACCATCACAATTAATTAATATCCTTCCCATAGAATTGGGCTATTCGGACATATATCCGGACATATTATTAACATTCACTTGTTCTATCAGTTGTGATATTGATCGTTTGTTGCCGTTGCTTGTCCGTCTCCGTTGGTGACAACTTTAAGATGTAGAACACAGACAAAAGGGGGGATGATAATCAAAGCAAAATATGGAAATATTGACAGCATAAGGGACAAAAACAAACAATCAATACCACAGCTGATAGACGAAGGTAGTGTTAGTAATATGTCGAGAAATTCAGATAGCTCACTTCTGTGAGAGTGATGTGTCATTGCGATGGTGATGTTGTTTAGAAGGCTGATGAACACTTTACGATTTAAACTAATCAGATCAATGAATGAAAATCCACTGATATTATTTTGTGGTTCTGCTTTTTACCAGTGAATTTTTGACAATGATGGAAATCAATTGAGAAACCGAGATTCTCCATTAATCTAAAGGTTGCTAAGTAGACTAACAAATGTCTTATAAACATGAGACATATTTTAAACTTTCAATAAATCAAAGCATTTTCCAACTGTTCTACCTCGACGGATGATGCTATCTGGTATAGGAGTAAGCTTGAAGAAAGCTACAAGAAGCCAAATCAAGACATGACATCAGTCTATGAAGTTATCAACAAGTGAAATGGCCTTCGTTAACGGGTATGGAATACCTGATTAGGATTTCCCTGATTATCGTCAACAATAGTTTGAGATTGAATGATATGGCTTAAAATAGTTTGCAATAGGATGGTTGCATCTACTCTTTGTCTCCTCTTAAAGCCCAAATTTCTAAATTCCGTATCAGTTTTTTTTTAGCTTATTTCTGCTTCATTAGTTCAGATTTTCTTTTCCAATACTTCATATTATCTATTTCCACTAAAATTCTTACTACCATTTTTAACTGGAACAAAATATTTCTACTGTTTTCACACCGAAACTGATACTGTGTAACTCAAGACAGAAAATAAAACTGCAAATGTAGATAGACTTTAGTATAAACGAACAATAAAATGTACGGTGACTAGAATACCAACTGAAAGAAAATTAAAATTGCCATAGGTTTCGGTTTACTGAATAAGATTTGTTGATTATTGAAATGTTCCACACAATACTTATTCACTGACTAGTGATTAGAAAGGTTTATCCCAAAAACTAGGGAATAAATCTCACTCAAAGATGTGATGATTGATATTATTACTAAAAGTTTTTGTGTGTGGCAGTAGCTTAGTGGTGAATTTGTTCGACTTTTTAATACTAAGTAATAGGATTGAAAACTGTTCTTTGTGTTTTGGTTTAGGTAACCAGATAATATAGATATCCAACCCAAATGTAGAGTGTAGCTAGTAGAATCAAGTACCTAGTGAATAAGTTAACAATTAAGGAAGAATTTGCAACAGTTCAGTTAAGAAAAGGCTCCTTTTTCAACGATGATAATCTATACATGTTAGCATTTACCTGCATTGAATATGAACTAGAAACACGATAGTAGATAGCATCATTGCTCAAATTTTCTATGGCTACATTTGAGTTTATTAACCGAAGAATATACAAAAATCAATGAAGTAAGGAACACAGCAAACATTATGACCGATTCGCTTTTTAAATCTGTTTATTTTACTACTATGTGGTTATCATTCTGTAACTATTTTACCAATCAGTGATTTATCAATTAATAAAGTAACTTATTTTCAGCAGCAATTCAATGGTAGATTCAAATTGCCTGTAACTATCAAGTGATGACCACTAGTGACTAACTACAAGTGAACATTTCCGGAGTTCTATCAGTAAGCTATGACTAATGAAGTTCAACCGTGTCGGGTACTTTGAGGCACTGAAGACACCTGGAAGATGGTTATAATATCTTGGATTGGTTCAAAAGCATTGAAGTTAAACGAGTGAAATACGAGTTCGAATCCTGGATCCGATATTATGGATATGGATTGTTGAGAAGTTCAATACTATGAAAAAACAGCTGGTCGGTGCGTCCACATTGTTAATGCTTTTCTAACCTCGAACGATCGTGACTTCAATAGAATCTTACAATTTCCATAGTTCTATATTGTTAATAATTACAGAAGATGATTATCATGAATAGCGATGAACAAGACCACTGAAAAAAAATCCTACTGAATTATCATCTGTTATTGTCTTTATTTAATCTATTCACTTGTTTCATTTGCCTCTTTTTGTCTAGGTCATACTGTTGCTGTTGTTGTTGTTTGCCGATTGTAAATATTGTTCTCTTTTTCGTTCATTTTATTTTTTTTTCATTGATATTGACTAATGACGATGTGATGTGATGTTGACAATGTTGATGAATGTGAAGCTTTCATGCTTTCAACCAATTCCATTATAGTTAATGCGAAATATACATTTATGCTGAAAATTTACATATCAGTAGTAGGTTCCGATGGAATTAGGTCACATTATATTATGTTCTTTGCCTGCCCACCTACACACCCTCACACACATACACACACAAATATGTACACTGAACACGCATCAATAGACTTTGATGTGTACAGTTTAACAAACGAGCTGAAATGTCGGTTGCGTCTATTATGACAAGCAAAGATAATAGTGATAATCATAGTCTTTGAAATTAAATTTAATCAAACATTGATGCATGATTATGTCAAATTTATCAATATCAACATCAAGTTTATGATGATTGTTATTAGGTTAGTAAAGTTTTTAACAGGAACAAAAACTTATACTACTTATTTCGGCTATATCAGTAGGTGAAATAGAATGAAATTATTACCATCTCTAGTTTATCATGACATAGTAAAGAATTAAAACATATGTATAGGAAAATAAATAAAATTTCCTCTTCTTTTTTTGTGTGTTTAAAGTTTATGCGCGGGTCAAATGTCGGAAAGAATCGGTGAATTTTTTCATCAAATTAAATATTTTTTCTAAAAACAATTCAATACTGACTACTCAATTCAAAAACCTTATTAATTAGAGAAATAGATAGATAGATAAATAGATAGGAATAAATTTTTGCCCATAAAATAAACCTTCTGTTGAAAATGGTAATGAACTAAACAATGTTGCATGTTTCGACCTATTTGGAACTCTTCAGATGTTTAAATTACATCGGAGTGTTTATTTCCTCGCTGAAACTGAAATCCAGTATCTGTTGCTTTAAGCAAAAACATGTTGTTAACTATTGAGATATTAAGTCGTTAAGTCTCACCTAATTACTTACTTACTTACTTACTTACTTACTTACTTACTTACTTACTTACTTACTTACTTACTTACTTACTTACTTACTTACTTACTTACTTACTTACTTACTTACTTACTTACTTACTTACTTATGCACTTACTTACTTACGCCTTACGCCACCTGTAGACCCTTTGTGGCTACTGCCGGTCCTAAGCCCGGATAAAGGAGAAAGGGTTGGGCATAGGGTTGGCGCCCCCCATCCCAACTAAAAACTAACTTGCCAAAAAAACGCCAACCAGAAATGAAAGTCGTTAAGTCTACAGCGATAATAATAATAATAATAATAATAATGATAACTTAACTGACTCATCATAGATTATAGTTAGTAATATGTTTTATATTAGAATAACTAGAATTTAGTTTAGTCTACTTTCTATAATTTAAGAATTAAAGTGTAACTTTCATTAGATAAAACTAAATTCCTATTGTTGAGTATAAATAAATAAAAGAAATCGCATGACAGATAAATATTAATGATGTTTCATATGTTACATTAAAGACTGATCTTAGGATTAAATGAACACTGAAAAAACCACAAAGTACTTAACTGATGTTTGATCTTAATATAGAGGAGAGAAACCAGCGATTTTAGATTTCATTGGAGGCTTTTAACTATTAGACCATTTCGTCAATTTGAATTATGGAGATTAGTATCTTTTACCCATTGAAATCATCAGTCAATGACTGTTAGACAACTAGTGGAGTTCAACCCTGTCGGGTTTAAGTAGTAACTACCGAACAGAAATGGATGAGGTTGCGCAAAATCTGTAGATTGATCAGAGTTACATATCATCACCGTTATAT